ACGATTGGTTGCCTCCCACAGGAACTCCAACCAGGGCCCTGGCCAGGGAGTATCCTGCAACCAAGGTATGTACCCTTGACTGGAATTGAACCTGAGACTTTTTGGTCCCCATGCCGATGCTCTATCCATTGAGCCAAACCAGCCAGAGCCTATTCTGTGTTTAAAAAATAAAATACTGTACAATAAGAAAAGATGTTAGGAAGGACATAAATGGAGTTGAACTTTTCTAAGGCCTTGTATCATATCAGAAGTGATTACCCTTTTATAAGGTAATTCTGTATATAGGAATTAATAGGATTTAATTAAAATAATAGTAACAGGGAGAACCAAGATGGTGGCATAAGGTATACACTTATATGTGCTACCGCGCACAACCACACCAAAACTACAACTAAAAGACAAAATGGCTATCATCTAGAACCACGGGGAAGCTGGCTGAGTAGAAGTTCTACAACTAGAAGGAAAGAAAAAAGTGCATTGAGACTGGGTAGGAGGTGCGGAGGCAACAAGAGCAGAGGTATGGAGGCGCGCGAAATGGGCTGGCAACTGGGTGTGCTGTTTTTTTCAATTGGAAGGGAGATATAAGCTCCCAACTGCTCTGAACTCCAGTTTCTGGCGGGACTCTGGGGAACCAGACTTCTACGGGGAGAAACTGGACTGTCTGGCATCAGGTTGGAAAGTGAGGGTGGCTTTTTTCCAGAGCTGCCCACAGGGATCATTGTTACTGTGGGGGCGAGGGACTCGGAGAGGCAGAGATGCGGAGACCCAGAGACGTGGAGACAGCTGACTGACAGCCATCGCTATTTGCTCTGCCCTGGTGACCCCCTCAGACCCCGCCCCACCCAATTTACAACCCCATCCAAGCTGTGCACATTGGCCTTTGCATATCAATTGCCTTTCTTTCGCAGCCTAACCTAACAAACTGCAGCTGGGTCAGAGAGCTCCAAAACTTCCAAACCCCAAACAAAGAGGAGAAATCTGCAGATCTCACTGTAGCTCCTGCTGGGTGGACTCATGCAGCAGCTAATTTTGCACCTCATTGGAGATCCAGGAGCCAGTGTACCCAGTGCTCAGATACCAGATTTCAACTTCTCACATCCACAAGTGACCCACTCAAGAGGCAGACTCAGA